GAGTCGAGAAATTTCTCATTTTGTAGAGAAATATTTATTCTACTAGATCATCTATTTCGAATTTGAAATGGGTTCCTAGCTTTATAGGAACGATTCTTTGAAAATGAGTGAAAAAAGAGGACCGTTAGCCAGACAAGCCGAACAGTGTCTTTAAAACAAAGTTTAGTTTAGATTGACAGAGTAAAGAAGAGATATCCTAGGAACGGTTATTGAATTAAACTTCTAAACTCATCTAAGTACTAGAACTGATGTTAATGATATTGAATTTTTAATTTGTCGTCCAAAAAATATGATCGTTGTTAACATTCGAATGTAAAGATATTTTTGATATCAAATTATATCGTTGTTCTATGTTCTATGTTATAGATTCTTGGTAAGAATACAACAAAACCGGGTTTAGTTAAACGTACTAAAGAAGAAACAATAAAAATGATCAAAGATATTTATATGGCAGCATGTGAACGAAATGTTGAACTAGGTGATGGGGTTGTTATACACACATTAACAAAAGATCAAGGAATAACCACCGATGTACATCCATTAAGAAAAGATTAGTAACAAGTAGTGAGTAAACAATTAAGACCAACTCATTCTCTGCTTTTTTTTCTTGTTGTTTTACGNGAGAATAATCATCTAACATTGACTTGAAGAGCTTATAGAAGAAGAATTTTAAAAAATTAGAAACATCCAAATATCTTTGTTTTTGTTTCATTTTTTTTAAATTAAAAATATATAGTCTGGAATTCAAATGTTCTTCTCAATTTAAAATGTTTTCTCTTGTTTTTTCGATTATCTTCATAAAGCGATTTGTGAAAACTAAAAGGGATGAGATTCTTACTCTTATGGAAAGTTTTGTATCGTGTAATCGAATACTTACTATAATATTTTGTTTCAGATAATAAAACAAAAACATTCATTCACTTCAACATATTTGGATGTTTCTAATTTTTTAAAATTCTTCTTCTATAAGCTCTTCAAGTCAATGTTAGATGATTATTCTCTTAGTTTGTGTTTTGATGTAAATGCAATTTTCATACTACTGCACAAAAATGTTTTCAACTATATACAATTTATTCGATGTTATTATCATTTTATTGAAATGATTTTGAGTGTATTAAACAACAATAACAATTATTTCATATAATATCGAATGATGTAATACTAGAATATCGATTATACGTTCTCTGTTTGATTATATATCAAATTTAAAATAATATTGAAGAAGATAAAATATTACAGAAAATAGAATAAATATTGTAGCAATAAAACTAAGATATTTAAAAATGATCTCTCATCCATTTGTTGACACTATTATAAATAGTACAAAATCTGAAAGTATTTGAATTGATGTTGTATATTACTCAAATTTTTTTGACTTTCTTAAAAATAATAGAAATTTACAGTCATTATGCACAATTATTTTAACATTGACTGAAGATATTTATATTAGGATTAATCATATGTATAAGTTATATATATACCAGAAATATTTATATGAATGTCTCTCATCATTGCTATAATGTCGAAATGTTCAGTTTATGAAAACTACATTCATTTATCAGCTATTGAATATAAGATCAATATATTGTTTTTATTAATCAAGTTTTTTAACATTTCTATTTTTATATCGTTTACAATTAATTAGTAGATTTTATTTTTCGATCTATAAATGGAAAAGAGGAGAATTGAAATTTTCTTAATTTGTACAAAACTAAATATTTTCTACAATTGAAATCAGTGACATTGAATATCTATCAAAAAACAAAAAAAAAATCCAATGAGAGACACTTAACGAAGAAATAACAACAACGTTACTGGTACACTGTTGAATGTTCAGCTGACGATAAAATGATATATTTGTCTACTAATGGATGATATTAATCGAACAAAAACCAATAATATAATAAAATATATCTTTAAGAAAAACATAGCACATTAATTTGAATTTAAAATTAAGAGATGACTATCGAAAATATTTCATTTATCTATCGTTCGTGTATGTAAATCTTTCTTTCTATGATGACTATTTGTTTCTCATTCATAGCGTTCTGTGATTTTTGAAATATAAAAGTGAATCGATGTTTTGATATACAAGACATCTGTTGTAATCAAAATAGACTGATGTGATATTTGTCAAGTTGGATCGAACTATTTTGAATAGTTGTAGAAAATGAGAACCGTTAGTTACAACAATAAAATCTGTTTAAAATCGACTTCATTTTTCAATAATACCGAAATATACCGAGATGTTTTGAAACGATAATAGTTTTTAACTACTACACAAAATTAATTCCTAACAAGTCTCTAATAATGCTATCGACAAGGTTTATTTTACGATGCAAGAACGTATGTGCTTACTATAAGTATGACAGATTATAAAAGAAGGAAAACAGAAAATGAAATCCTATAGGATCCTTGTTAAAATCCGAAACTTTCATCCAATAAATTTGCGTTGTTAAAAAGTGTGTACAAACTCTACTAATGATTCGATGAGTCATTCTAACCTATAACCGTACGAAAATGATGATGTTCTTACTATTATGAAGTTTATAGTAAAAAAAATAATAATAATTGATTCAGGAATTGACAAATAGAACGAATTGTATTCAATGTGAAAAAACAGAAAAATTTGAACAAAAAGAGGCTTGAAAAGGAGTACGTGTCGTTTCTAACCAATAGTGCATATGGAAAAATATTGACTTTTTCTTAAGTCATAGATCTGTGTAGAATAATACAATAGGTGTCTATTCCAATTCTGCCACTCTATTTACTTACTTAGGACAACTTCGGTAATATTTTCATTTTGTTTATCACTTTTTTTTTTAGATAAAATAATGAGTGATGAGAAATCATCGGGTCGTATTCCATCTTCAACGTCGTTGAACACTACCACACCAGCTGCTTCAATTCCATTACCAGCCACGTCAAACACGAATAGTTCTTCTCAGCAACAATCAACTACTACCACAAAATCTACTCAAAAAGATTTAAAACCAAATTATCAAATAAAATTTACATTATCTGGTCATTTAAAAGCAATATCATCATTAAAATTTAGTCCAAACGGTGAATGGTTAGCATCAGCATCAGCTGATAAAACAATAAAAATATGGGGAGCATTCGATGGAAAATGGGAAAAAACAATTAGTGGACACAAATTAGGTATTTCAGATTTAGCATGGTCATTTGATAATAGGTAATTAACATACAATTTAAATTTGATAAGAGAATATTTAATTCATACCATTTCAACTTATAGATATCTAGTTAGTGCATCGGATGATAAAACTCTTAAAATTTGGGATATAACCCGTGCAAAATGTTTAAAAACATTGAAAGGACATACAAATTATGTGTTTTGTTGTGATTTTAATCCACAATCAAATTTAATTGTTAGTGGATCATTTGATGAATCTGTTAAAATATGGGATGTTCGATCATCAAAATGTCTAAGAACATTACCAGCACATAGGTACGATTATTTAAAATTTTCTCTCGTTTTATCTATCACATATTTTGTTTCTCTTAATTTTAGTGATCCAGTTACAGCTGTACATTTTAGGTAAAGATTTATTTTTTATTTTTAGTTAAAAATTTATATGTTAAATCAATTATTATATATTGTGTTTAGTCGTGATGGCACAATGATCGTTTCAAGTTCGTATGATGGTTTATGTCGTATATGGGATACATCAAGTGGCATGTGTTTGAAAACTCTCATTGATGATGATAATCCTCCAGTGAGTTTTGTTAAATTTTCACCAAATGGTAAATATATATTAGCTGCTACATTGGATAATACATTAAAATTATGGGATTATTCTAAAGGAAAATCATTAAAATTATATACAGGCCATAAAAATGAAAAATATTGTATATTTGCAAATTTTTCTGTAACCGGTGGAAAATGGATTGTATGCGGATCAGAAGATAATTATGTTTATTTATGGAATTTACAGACAAAAGAAATTGTTCAGAAACTTGAAGGACATACCGATGTTGTGATGTGTTGTGCGTGTCATCCAAAAGAAAATATTATTGCCAGTGGTGCACTAGAAAATGATAAAACAATAAAAATATGGAAATCGGATATCTAAGTTTTTTTTTTATATTCTTCATTTAATGTATGTATATGAATGTCTATATATGTAGAGTTTTTTTCTTATCAGTTTTGTTAAAATTAAAAGATTAGTTTAAACATTGTAGTTTGATCAGATTCAGCATAGATCAAATTTAGATTGTAAGATAAGCATCGTAGATATAAAGGAAAACACAAAACATACCAAGAATACGATAATAACGCAGATAAATTAGAAGAGAACTGAAGAAATAAAAAAAGACTGTGGTCTATGAAACAATTAAGAGTATAAATCGTGCTGTCTTTTTTCAACATCATGTTTTAATAGAAAACCGCGGTTGAATAACGCACACATTACTTGTGATTCAAAAAAACTTTTAACTATCAACTTATCATTAGAAAAAGTACGATTATTTTGAACGGTAGCGAACACTCACATGTGTTTTCCAAAACCACTGTTTTACGCAAGTCACGAAAAGTATGTCTTACATAGTAATAGCCACGTTTTCTTCAAATTCGCGATGTTCCGCAACAAAAGAAGATATGCGGTATGCTTTGAGTAGGAATAGATGCGGGTTCCTAATAAAAAATCCCGTTTTATAGTAAACTGCAGCTGTTTTCGTTTTCTCTGCTTAGATATCGATCTAGTTCTTCAGCTTCAGTTTCATCTCTGACACAAGAACATTTTGTTTTGTTCTGCATGCAGGAGAGATGAAATACTAAGTGCTATTTTTCTTGTTCAGCCGTTTTGCGACGGCTGATCTGTCCCTGTAGGTATAGTAGGATAGTCTTTCCAATAGTCACACTGCTTCCTCATGTGATATATCTAACGTCGCTACAAACTTCCTGAAATGCACAGAAAAGTAAGGTCGAAGTTACTTTATTAGAAGGAAGCTCGAAATGTGATACTCTGGAAAAGGCATATAGAACCTGACTTCTGTACGGAAAAACTGAGTGCTTCTATGTAGTTTTCTATGCTGTTCAAGACAGAAATATTGAAATTCTTGCAGCTCCGATGTCTGTATAAACTGTGTGAATCTGTATGAAAATATCCTGTTTATTAGAGATTCTTCTTTGTCCTAATAAACTTTACTACTCCATAATATAACGTTGTTTCTCTACAACTTGTATTTTCTTATAGCTATGTACAAATGTACATAATGTTGTGTAAAGCATACACAATTACATAGGAGCTCCCATTTGCCCTACAACAGTCATCTTCCGCATGCCTACAGAATCAAACAATCACGAACTGGCCTATTTCTATCAAAAGAGTTATTCATCGCACTGCACAAAGTATCGTAAGAATCAAATTTCCAGTGAGGAGTGGCGGAGCCAGGGGTGCTGAGGTGGACTCAGCCCCCTCTAGCAACCTTTGAGCCCTCTGGCGAGATTTTAGAAAAATGTATCTTTTTTATACAAAAATGTATTAGTGTTTGCAATTTCACGTTTTATCATATACATCTAATTTTTGTGGAACTCATGTGTCTTTGAATAAAAGTAAATACAAGTTTCAATCAGGTTTTATAGGTTATGAGTAGCTTATTTCAGCTTTGTAGGAGCCTCCTGGGCTAGGGGGGGCTGAGACCCCCCTAGCCAAAATCCTGGCTCCGCCACTGCTACCGAGCATAATTTCGGGAAAAGCGTAACGAACACCGAAAAAATGTAAGTGTGTGTCTGTGTGACCACGCTTTGTTTTCTCTAATAACGCATACAAGACTAGTATAAGGATTTCTCTGTTCAAGGACAATGATAAAAGCTTATATTTATACTTTTAGCTACTAGATATTTTCATAGATATAGCAGTATAGTTCTGCTGAAAGTTTGACCATCGCTACTTGTTATCACTCACAGATATCGATTTTTGATTTGAACGACACATGTTAAGCTCAAATACACTTTGCTCAGCAGTTCCAGATTTTCTGATTAATATTTGTCTTTAATTGCACTGAAGATAATGTTAGATTAAGATTGAAAGCTTTGCATTTTATTTTATATTTAAATAAATAATACTTGTTGTTGTGAATATACTACCAATTTTATTTTCGTTCATCCCTGCTATTACTCCTCTATGCAGTCGATATCTCTGAGAGATAGAAAGTGACGACGGTCAAATTTCCAGCTTGCTCATTTTGTAATGACTTGGATAATATAATGTTAACGTGGAAAACTGATTTGAACAAGCACCTGTCGAGTGAAAAATCAGGTACTTGAGACAAATGTAAATATGTACAAGCACGTTTACTTGTGGAAGGAACGCAAGTATCAACTCATTATTGCAAGCGAAGTATTTATACGAGCACTTGGCTCAATTACATTTATTGCACATGTCATACATAGACTTCTCCTCAAATAACTATGTTCAAGCAAAACTATCGAATTTATTCTAAAAAATCATGAAAATTTTCATATTTATTATTATATGGTTATATGTTGTGTATAACCGAAAGCATAAAAAGCCCGCAAGTTATGCGTCACTTTTACACAGGTATGATATCAGTCTGCGCGCTGCGCTGCTAGTCGTATCATATTCTTTTTGTCGCTTCGTACAGAATTGGTTTGCTTCACTTATTTAATTAGATTGTTCATATACAGGATTTTGTGGTTATTTGCAATGAAATTTTGAGATAGAGGCCATAACTACGGCAACCAGTTGAAGAATGGTCGGTCGATTTGTCTTCTACTTGAAAGAGCTTAGATATTGTCTTAGATAGTCACTACGCGAATGTTTCTGTAAATCAGAAACATGTCTGTTGATGCCTGTTCTTTTCAGAGTTTTCTCTTTCACATATATGCTAACAAAAAAAGTTGAGGTAGATAAATAGTTTATGTTTAACGCTAGTATGACGAGAGAGCAAGCCTCCTATACGAAGGAAATAAACAATAAAACATCTTAAAGGCGTACTTTGGATACTTTTTCTTATGGTATGTCATTTTTTTGCCGCTTGTATCTAACACAGGAGCGTTTCATCAGTGTTCTGAAGTTCATGAGCTTGATGAAACACTAAGAATTAAGATAACGCGTAACTAAGATTAAGACAAGATATAAGTGTTCAGTTAAATTTAAGGACTACGTAAGATTATTGATAAAACGATCCTTAACAATCTTACTTGATTTTAGCTTACTAAAACCGATGGCTTCTACATTTTCTGTTCACCCATCAACGATACAGCATTCACAATCCGATGACGATTTTCATCGTTTTACAAACGATGATACTATTTGTATGGAATATTTAAAAGAAGTACGGCGAATAAAGTGAGTATTTGCATTTAAGTATAAAAGTGTAGTATTCGAAATGTATCAACACGATACCAAACATACAGTTGATCTCTGTTCGATACCTTGATTCTGTTGATTGATATGAAATCTTTAAAAGAGCCATAATAATGCGTTTCAGTATCTGATTTAACAGAGATAAATCATTTATTTATTATTTTGCACGAAACTTTCTCTTTCACTGTGCCTGGATCTCTCGTTCCCGGTGACTGATTTTACTGGAATTTTTTTCGTATAGAGATAACGGTACTTGCCATGTCAATTTGGATCCATCCTCACATAACAACAGCACACGTCATAAAATATTTTCACCTTACCTTCAGAAATTACCTCATTCTAATTTCCTTCAACACAACCTTCCACCTCCACAATCTTCGATAACGACTTCATCACGCCGTCACACGGATAGACGACGTTCAAATTCGACAAGTCGACACCATAAACGTTCATCATCTGCTCAAAGATCCAAAGAAATGAATCATGCCTATCATCCATCATCAAATGTGGTAGATGGACTTGATTTAAGCTGTTTTTTTGGAAACGATAATGAACATCATCAGCATCATACACTACAAAAGAAATCACGACCAGTTAGTGCACCAACAAGAACGTAAGAACATCAAAAATTTGTAAACTATTTTTCAGTAATAGACTAATTTTCGAATATTTGGAAAAATTTGATAAATTTCTATTTTTAGAGTTGCTTCGCAGAAGAAAAAGCAACGTCGTTCAATTGGTTCTCGTTCTCAAAAAGACAATTTTATTGTTATACTCTATCGAAACGGTGATCGAGATAAATGTGTATATTGCAGATCAACAACTATAGATGCTGTATGTAATCATTTTTATTCTTTTTTTCCACTCTAAAAGTATGTGTATCTGCGTTGTATATAGATTTTATTATATGCGACGGAAAAATTACAGATGCCATTAGCGGCAAGACGTTTATTTGATGAAAACGGTCGTGAAGCGTATCGCAGTGAAGATATACGATCACAATCGGAATATTACGTGTCAAGTGGTGAAAATTTTAAAAATCCATTTGATCCAATCAAAGGTAAACAAGTTTTTGATCTTATGATTTTTCTACTTGTATGTAAAAACTTTTATTTGGTATATTTTGTTTTAGTACAAACAGAATATGGTTTAAATTCTGTCTGGACAATGCAAGGAATCAAAACATTAGCTATTAAACCAAAAACATTTACCACTACAACAAAAATATCAAAACGTTTAGAGTATATACAATATAGTATGATGAATTTAAACTATTGAGCTAAAAATTTTGTTTCTATATTTTAGAAAACAAATAAAATTGAATGTAAATTTAATGATATTTGAAAATGGATTTGGTACTAATGATACGATGTATCAAATGTTAATTGATACAGTTCTAAAAGAAAATTTTGAAAAAGTACGTTCAATATATACAAAAATTAGACTATTTAATTCTTATTCGTATCTTTGTATTATATAAACTTAATAGTATCTCTTGATTTTAGTTTCTCGAAGATTGTACAATAAAAATTGAATTAAATGCACATGCTAAAAAAGCTTATAATTATCGGGGTGATGAAATTAAATCATTAAAGATATGTAAGTTGTCTTGATCATGAAAAAGATTTTTATTTATTTATTATGCTTTTTTACTTTTTAGTTGTAGAATCAGACGATAATTTTATTAAAACCGTTCATGGTTCAAAGATTCAAGATATATTAGGTCCAATATGGATTAGTAAAGGCGAACGATTTCGTCCAAAAGGTGCATATAAATTTTTAGCATTACGTTTGGAAGAAGGAAAACGCCGTTTAAAAAAAGAAAAAACAAAACAAGAAGAAGTAAAAATTTTTTTTTCCAATTAAAAAATTTATCGTGAAAAATAATAAAATATCAATGATTTAGGTACATCTCATTCAAAAATATAAGAAACAAAAGAAATCCAATCAATCGATGATAATGGAAGATCTGGATGATACGACAACAAACGGAATGAAAATTGAAATATTCAACAATGACTCATTTGATAAGAAAAATATCAAAGATAAAAAATTATTATCAATGACAATTGATGAATTAAACGAATTAGATCAAGTAAATTGTCTAAAATTGATAGATTTTTTCACTTTATTTAAACTAACTAATCATTTTATTGATATTTAGACGATGAATAAGAGTGTAGAAGAACTTCAAGATATGATTGAAAATTATAAATTAAAAATGGCTGAAATTGAATTAGAGAAAGATGAAGAAGAAGTTCGTTTTAGTATTGATAATAATTACTACTCTTATTTTTAAATATATTCTTTTTATTTTTCAGCGTATGGGTGCAAATTTTGCTACTGAACATATCAAAGAAATAAAATCAGAAAATAAAATTGTTGGACGACATCCAATTTGTTTACATGTTAGTATTTAGATTAATTGTAATTATTTTTGAGCTACATAAAACAAAGTATATCTATTTTATTTTTTAGATTCATGAAAATGGAAATTATAATAAAAATGATCCAAAAATATATTTAAATATTAAAAATTTACCATCAAAAAATGCGGGACAAACAAGTATTGAATATGTAAGTTAAATAATTGTCATTTTATTATATATTGTCATTTATTTTATATACTTATTTAGTTATTAGATTATTTACAACAAGAAGTTGATATTTATAGTCGTCAACGACCAAAACGTGTTTTCGATATAAATGGAATAGAATTTAAATTATTGAATAAATTAAAACAGAATCAAGATTTATTTATCTCTTATGGAGAAGATTATAAACCCGCATTTAGTAATAAAATTTATATTATATGTTAATTAAAATATATTAAATAAGTTTGTTATCTAAATTTAGAACCGTGTATGAGTATTACACTAGTCAATGTTGAAGTCTATGAAAAAGATGGCCAATTGGCTCTTATAAAATCTATGTCAGAAGATTTTTTAAAAGTAAAAAAAGATACAAATGTTAGGTTAGATATACAACTTTTTCTGTTTTTTGTTTACTTGAAAATGATTGAAACTTTTTGTACTATATTTTGTTTAGACAAATCATAGCATCCTGGAAACCTTTACAACGGATTTCAAATGATATTGAACGAAAATTTTACAATAAGTTTAACGATGAACAGAAAACAAATTATGATAAAATACCTTTAGATGATCATATCAGTCCAAATGTTACGCTACTTGGTCAAACAGTGATCAATACTGAAACAAATAAACATTCAACAAAATTGATTTATCCTGATTTAAAAATAGAAGAAAAATTTCAATTGAAACCAGAAAAATCCGAACTATTTCCAAAAACAGAACTACAATTATGGCGTTATAGTAAGGTTAGTATCTCATGCAAGAAGTTTCAATAGCTCCCCAGATTCACTGTCCCGCCTCATTCGCGATAAAATCTTAAAAAAATTTTAAATCTGATCACGTCTTTTTTTCCCCCCGCGGTCACGCCGCAAGAAATAGTTAGTCGCTATTTACCGTTTTGTTTTACAGTTCAGCAGTATATAGAAGAACGAGAAACAACTTCGTAAATTTTACTTTACTACAAAGTCTTTTCTCGTTCTTCTAGAAAAGGACATTTTCTCTCAGAAGAGAACGTTTTTCTTGTTCTTTTATATACCTCTATCTACTGCAAAACAAAACGGTGAATAGCGACTAAGTCATGTTCTCACCATTTCTTGTGAAAAAGTCATTTTCGCGCATAATCGCTACAAGAATAGCGGCTTCTCGAGTGATCGCGTAGCGTCTGGAAGAGTTGCTGCAAGAGATCATAGCAATCGGGTCGCGAGAACAAGACTGACCGCATGGACAGCGCGATCAGTTTTGAAGATTGCGACTTTTTTCGCGAGAATTACAGTGATCGCGTTCGCACCGTGAATTCAGTGTGACAGTCAACTTGGGTCCATATCTTCCCTGCAGTTGACAAGGTTCTGAAATGGTCACCCATCTCGTTACTAATCACATCAATTGCAACTCTAGCCGGAAGGCTAGTCTGACGTAGAGTTCTTTCGCCCAATTACTTGAGATACACACTTCACTAATCACCTACTAGCTTTCCGGAAAGTCACGAAGACTAGCTGGGGAAGCTCTATTATACGTCACAATGTAGTGAGTATGCTGTCAGACGGATGATCCAAGGTACTAAGACATAAATAACTTGCCCAAGCTTTATACATAACTTTGCTAGCGCCGAGGTTCGAACACAGTACCTTTGAAGTACATGACGAACATTAAGCCATGCTGCCGGCAGTAGCACCCTACATTGGTAACGGTTGTCGTAAAGCAGAGTGTTTTCCTTCTTCTTCCTCCTGCAAGAATTTAAATTTTTCAATAGTATACCGGTATAGCCTTAGTATAGTTTTACTTTCATTTCTAGGATGGTTATATTTTCAATAAAATTTTATCTCGATTGACGTTGACTGTTGTCGATCAACCGATTCGTTTAAGTCAAAAATCATCAGCATTAAACAGAGAATATGTAGAATTAGTTGGATATGGCGTTTGTTTACAGCCAAAAACAGACGATAAACAATTGAAACAATTGTGGACATTTACTGCTGATGGTTATATTGTTTCTCAAGCTTATCCCAATTATGCTCTAACAAATCTTTCAACAATTGTACCCACAGATAATAAAACAATGCAAGCAAATGGTATACGAATGGAAGAGAATGATCCATCAATTTATTATATTGGTATATGTCCGAAATGTAACAAAAAATCACCATTTATTCATGCACAAAGGTTGGTAGCTCTTCTGTGTTGAGAAGAATTTGTTTTATTTAAAACTAATTTTTAAAATATTATCTTTCAGAAGAAGTTGTATTGTCAGTATACCGTGGTTTAGTCTACTTTTGTTTTGTTTTCAATATATATAGTTTAAAATAGTACTTTCTCTAGTATCATATCTAGAATTGTGAGAAAAATTCCCTATTTGTAAATAGATTTCTCATATTCGAATGATTCACGTTATGATAGTTTGTTTGATTATGTATTATTTCAAATTATAGATGGGGTATTCGTCAACAGTCTGGTTTTACTATTGGTGATTGGAAATATTCTAAAGTCGAAAATCCTGCATGGCATAAGATGGCTTTAACGTGGCCTGTCGATGGATCAGGAACATTAATTCCAGTAAGTTTCCAAAATTTGAATTAGAAATTCAGTTTCACTGTAACATTCTAAGAACAAATTATATACAGTATTACTAATGGAAAAAAAAACCTCTTTTAGGAACTACAATGGCCCATTGAAGGTTATTTCATTCCGGGTGTACCACCAGTTAAATCCATAAAATTGACACCAACAACGCCTGCATGTAAGTTTACTTTAAAATGTTGAAATTATCTGTACTATATAAATATTCTGTTACTGCAGTTGTACCAATTCGTCTTCAAGTATTAAAAAATGGTGAACGAGATTTGGGTAAAGCAGTCGCTGTAGTAGGACCAGATATGTCAAATGTGAGTAATTTATTAACTAGTTGTAACTATTATCATAATATTTTCTCTCTTTTAAAGATGTTAACTGAAAATAAAACGTCACCAACCATTTATCGTCGATTACGAATACCAAAACCGGAAAAAGAACAGCGAGCAAATAGACAACTTAGACGAATGGCCGATGCAAGACAACGAGAAATTAAATTGGTAAAATATCAAACATATTTATTCAATTATAACTATACTATTAGATATTTGTTTTTATAGTTTTTAGAAGATTGTACAAATTTATTGAATTTACCATTTGCTGGTCGACGTCTATTTGACAAAGATGGCTATGAATTATTTGATTTGACATCAATTCAACGAGATTCACATGTATATGTGACATGTGGAGAAGCTTGGATAGATCCAGAGGTACTTTAAAATTGACCAATCGAATATTTATAAAATTCAATATTTTATTCTCTTTTTTCAAGTTAACAAAAGCAGAACAACAACGACGTCTGCTATTAGCCTATTTGAAAAATGATGTGAATATGATTGATTTTTATTGTTCATTACGAAATCCTGTTGGTATGTCAAACATGTAAAATTTTAATCAATCATCTATGTCTTTAATCTTGAATAAGTTCCATCGGGATTTTGGCAAAAAAAATTCTGCAGTATTTTATGTAGAATTTTCGGAATTTGTAAATTAATAGTCACAATTACCATTCTCTAAATATCTAGTATTCTAGAATAATATCATTTTACTCTTCTTTTGAATGATTACCACTCTCTAACATGACTGTGCATTGGTGAAACTTTATCCTCAGCGCAGCAAAAACGCGTCTATTTGGTAAAATTCTGCGAAATTTGCGAGTGGTGAGAATATTCTTGTATAATTCTGTTATATTTCACAAAATTCTGCTTTCATTGGCAAAATTCTACGAGAAGTGTTGATGACTTATTCTAATTGATCGAAGATGAGTTTCTGCTGTATTGAGAATAAAGTTTCACCATTGAACAGCAGAGACCGAAACGGATCGGGTTCGGATGAGATCAGGGTCGGGTCGAGTCGGGTTCGGATCGCATTTGTTTGACCCGTTTCGATCTAACTTAAGTCAATATAAAATAAACTACCTGAATCACCCAAACTTGTCTACTCATAAAAGGAAAAAATGACGGAAACCGTAAGAAATCTGACCATTTTTTTGAAAAAATTTGAAAACAATCTAACTAAGATAATTTTTCTATAGGAAAGAAGTATTTCTTTGGGAATGTGTACGAAAACATTTTCATGTTTCGGGTCTAGTTCGAATTACAGTTGCAAACGTTTCGGGTCCGTCTGGTCGGGTCGGGTTCGAGTCACATTTGGTTGACCCCTTTCGGTCTCTGTTGCACAGTCCTCCTCTCTATATACTCTCTCGAAAAAGTACTTATAAGGCGCGAGAAACTCTGTGTCAAGCAGTCTTACCTCTCTGTACGTATACAGCAGACTTGCATGCTGAACAAGTCGAATTTCAAATTTAAGTTGGTTGACTGAAAAATAGTTTTTTTTACTTTTATCCTTCGTCCATGTATACAGAACAAAATGATAATTAAGTTCAGCACGAGATCATAGTGAGGATTTTACGAATGTTGAAGACATAGGCACTCATATCTGCTCCTATGTAACTGAAACAATTATATTCATTTTAGAATACTGTATTGAAACAAAAAATGGTTTATGTGAAAATTCTCAACTAATTGTTAATATATGTGCATTAAATTCAATACAACGAGAAAGAGTGAAACAAGGTAGATCTCTAAGATAAATTTATTTTTTCTTGAGATGAATATAAATTATTTTTTTTGGATTAAGGTGAAACAATTGAACAAGTTATTGAATATGAAGTCCCGGTTGTCGAAGCAGCGCCTGAACCAGAAGCAAGGTATTGAATCATCTTTTCACGGACCAATTTGCATATCGTTCATTAATGTTGATAAATTTCTGCATGCGTATAGATCAGAATTTACTTTTATCAATCTTCTTCTTTTAGTCCATTGTATGTTTTCATGGTTGAGTATTAGCTAAGAAACGCTGCTGCTATCAAAAGTGCACTTTGCATTTTGATTTTACACGAGAAATTGCTTTACACTGATATTTTATTATTGATTATTTTTTCGCCATATCACCGAAACAAAAAAAATACAGTTGATTTTTCTATTTTTGGCGAGATATATTACGAAATTCTGGTGGTGGTGTAAAACAATTTCCACGGGAAAATAATATTAATTTGAAAATTTTTCTGAAACTTTTGGAAGTACCCCTCACCAAAAATAGAATAATCTTCTGGGTTATCGAGTGTGCTGAATATGAAAAAGCACTTTTCAGCAACTCAAAACCAACTTTATTATTTTTTCGGTGATATATTTTCGCTTACTTGAAATCTCAGCATATATCAGCTCGATAGTGTGTATTATTCATTCCAAAATACAAAGTCATCAGCTGTTTTTTTGAATCATTCGACAACGAAAAATGATAGAAAGATGCGTTTTTCACCATTTTGTAGTAAAAATCATAGACTATGGGAGCTAGAAAAACATCGAATTTTCTACTCGGATCGGAATAGTTGGGCTCTTGTTATTCATGACTCATAACTTTCTGCTAGTAGATGAATAGAGAGGTGCTGTGTATTTCGTATTATTGAATTTGAAGAAAAATTTGTACTTTGTACTCCCCCTCCCCTCATCCCACTCTGTACTTGCTGTCTTTTTCGAAATTAGATCCAATCTCATTGAATCAAGAATGTTTCTGTTTCAATAAAAGCTTCCTAAACATCCACATTGTAACAATGCTGTGAGCAAAAATTACTAATTTCTTTCACGTTTTAAACTAAAATTCAAACCATTAATCGTTTTCAAAACTACTAATCGAACTTAAATTTCGTTTATTCAATAAGATATTGAGTTTCGACTGTATTCTTTATTTTATAGAACAGCTCATGAACGAGCTCACATAGCTGTGGATAAGAAATTAAAAGAAAAATTTCGTTGGCCATGGGAGAAAATTGCAAATCGTAGTTTAACATCAGATACCGATGATGATGGATCAGCAAATGAAACGATAAATAACTCGTTAACACGAGACAAATCACCACCAACGAAACCGTAACCGTTAATCTTCAATTATAACTCTTATGATAAAATGATAATATATTTTTAGTATTCTAAACAAGTCAACCAGAAATTTGCCAAAAACCGTTCGTATATCGATGCAAAGCTTTAAATGGGAAGAATCCGGTGGTTATATATCGTGTAGTGATGATCCAAATTTAGTGTTTGGTGTCAAGGAAATCGAAGCAAAAATTGTTGAAGTTGTTTTGAGACGACGAAATCCCGACGATATATTTCAAAGATGGTTGATTAAATCAACGATTGCCGATAATGACAATGATAATCTACAACCAGATGATAAAAGTAAAATGTAAGAAATATTTTAATAATTTATTTTATTAACACCTAAGAAATTTAATCTTACAAGAAAACCTCCCCAAATGTACTCTCGTTTTTTTAACGAAATGTAGTGGGTTGTAGGTAATCGACCATACTGATTTCGAATACGATATTCATTTGGATTCATAGGCCTTTCCTAACCGATTTCTGTAAAACCATTTTTCCAAAAACCTCGAAAAATCTCCAAAACTATTTTTAAATAAGTCATGATTGTAGTCCGCGAAATTCTAATCAAAATGAGTTATCTCCCAGCTCTACACGACCTTTCTTTTGCAAAGTTATAGAGTTTACAGGAAAAGCCCTAAATTCATTTTTCCATTTGATTTCTGTAGCTGTGAGGTGGCAATGAACATTTAGGGCTTTTTCTGTAAACTCTATAACTTTGCAAAGAAAGGTGGTGTAGAGCTGGGAAATGTCTGATTTTGATCAGAATTTTGCGGGCTACAATCGACCTTAAAAATGATTTTGGAGACTTTTCGAGATTTCTGGAAAACCAGTATTCCAGAAATCGGCTAGGAAAGGCCTTTGAACCCAAATGAATATTATATTCGAAATCAGTATGGTCGATTACCTACAACCCACTATATTTTGTCAGAAAAACGAGAGTACATTTGGGGAGGTTCCCTCGTTAGTGAAAAAAAAGTAGTGTGGAAGTTTTAAATTACGGGCACCTTATATGTTTTTGTATTAGAATAGAATTCAATTTTTCAATTCATTTTTTCTGCAGTATAATCGTCTCAAAAGCTCGTCCTACAATGGCTTTAACAATCTTGTTGCCATCGTGTACCGGCTCAGAATCAAATGAAAATTCTGTATCATGTGTCGGTTGTTCCGTTTCACTTCAAGTTCGAAGAACTGAAGAAAATGGATGCGCAAATCAAAAATGGACGTATGATAAGAAACTTGGTTTCTTGTTTGCCTTTTCTGCATCGACAATGGACAAAGGTAATCATTTTTGTTAGTAAATATTTGATATCAAGTTCAAAAGAATGATAAGACAACAAATAATCACAATTGTTATTATATTCTAGAAATTACTGCTGCCAATCGTGCAAATATTTGTTCTTATACAGTTGTTAAGGATAATGTATCACAACCGGTATGTAAATACTCTTTCTTTTGAATAAATTATTTCAATTTTTACCGGATTTTTTCTTCTCGTAGGGTTATATGGTTTCCATAATAAATAGTCAAGATCAAACAGAAAATGTTGCTGTTTGTTTGGCATGCGCAAAATCGATGCGTGGAAAATATCGACTAATTAAAATGAAAACAGATATAGAATTTTCATGTGCCATTGGACAAAGTATATAAATTTATCAATCTTATTCATCTATTTCACTATGATAATTGGCGTATATTTAGGACAAGATTTAAAATTCAATGGTTCATTTCATTGTCTTAATCATAAAGTTGATTTATCTGAAAACGTAGCTGAAAATACGCTTTCAATTTGGAAAGAAAAATATGACAAGTAAATTGAAGAATATTGTCATCTACTAAACTAAATAATATTTTATTTTAATCTTTCAGATTGAAAGAAGAAGCAAGTGTTCGAGCTATAGCTAAAGAAATAGCTGCTGCTAAATCAATTCAAACTGTTCATTTACTTGCCTATCGAAATGGTGATGGACATACAAAAATTGGACAAATACTCGTTGGATCAAGTATCATTGGAGTAAGTAATATGAAAGAGATTTATCTTTTATTTACTATGTTAAATATTTGCTTAGTTATTGGATCAAGCAACGCAACGTTTAAATTTGACAAATGCAGCTCGACGTTTTTATACAGTTGATGGAAATGTTATGTTAACAATCGAAGATCTGTTACAATGGACATCAGAATATTATAAGAAAAAATATAATAAATGGTTAAAACCAGAAAAATGTAAGTTTAAACAAACATTTTTTTCTATTCATGAAAATAACGGCAATTGTGTTTACTGATCGCCGACATTAATTACAAAAGTACGAATATTAATGATAGAACTTTGTTCCTATAGTTGATATAAAAATGTCAAATTTTAGCTAATGAAACTCATCTATCACAACAAATACAACATGAATCACAGCAGCCTCTTGATAAAATTGAATTGTATACTTCTCACCATCAACCTATGGGTAAAGGAACAAATACTTGTTGTTTGCATTATACTCAGCCTAATATTTTTTTACGATTTGATATGCTTTTTAAACATATGCCATTCTGTTACTTACTTACCACATTCTTCTTTCTACTTGTCACTAACGGACACATCTTGTTCTTCAATGTCAGTTAAAAGAATTATTCACTTCTGTAAGAGTATCGAAGAATATTTATTCTGATGGTGGTCGAAGCGAGATAAACAGAGATCGTAATAAAAAATTTGATGTGTTGTACAGTTCTTTTTTTCTCGTTTCATCAGTGGAGTCATATAATTGTAACACTTTCACTACATTCTTCTTTCAAATATCACGGATATTTAATTTATTGATTAATCTTCTCTATAGCACAATCATTTTTGTTTGTAGATAATGAAACTCGAAAAGTTCACACTGATACTGTATCTGAAAAGACTACTTTATCGTCTACAGTGGAAACATCGACACTTGCTGCAAAACAACGTCATCAAAATTTACCAAAACCATCAGATATAAAAAATGCAGTGAAAAAAAATGTATCTGGAACAATAGAAATAGATATGAATCAACTTTTGAAATTTCCCATTGAAATATGGGTCTCATCAGGAGAATCCTTTGTTAATCCAAAAGGTTGAGTGACTCTGTAAACACTCTGTCTATCATGTTGACTATATTAGAATTTTTTAGACGTTGATCAACGTCAAAACCAGCGTATATTACAACGTGAACAACGTACAACAGTTGAGCATGAATTAGAAAAAGAAAAACATTCACTACGCTTAATGCAAGGTATTTTGAAATACTGTTTTTCACATTGATTTTACGAAGTTTGGTTTACGTTCTTCTCAATAGGACGTCGAATTTCTGCTCAACAACCGGGTGAATTCATATCTCAACAAAATCCACAGGAACCTGTAATTAAACAAGGACATTGGACCGAACAACCTGATATTGAGTTGGATAAAATTGAAGATGTTGAACAATTAAGGGTTGGTAGACCTTTCTAAAGAGGATGATGTCAACTAGTTTTACTCATTAATTTTAGACTTCACTGGATGAAATTCGTATGTCTCAACAACCGGAAAATACCCGACTAATATTAACAGCGGCCACCGATCGACTTGTTCAACATCCGAAAACAGTATGTCTATACTGCTGTATACTAAATACAAAGTATTATGGAAATTATTCGATTTTAGAAACGTGTATTGGTGTATACAAATCTTGATCCAGCCAATGCGGTTCAGTGTTTTGGCAGTAGTCTTGAAGAAATAATGGAAAATTCCAAGTTAAAATTACATGTTATGCAACCAATCCAAGCATTATTCGATGAAAATGGACAATTAGTAAGCGATATAATTGACTGTTTTACTACAATTCAGACTGTAAGTTAAATGTAGAATTATCGATAATTTCTCTCTCTTTTTAGATTGAACGTTTTGATCAAATTCGTCGTGATCAATTAATCTGTGTTTCGACAACAAAAACATTTACAACCGTCACTGAACGTCAAAAAGAAGTTGAAATCAAGGCTAATTGGGCGCGTACACGTAAAAATTATGGAGATGCTGCTACTGATATTCGTGTTAACTCCTCGCTATCATTTCCCTCTGTTGATCCATTTGGACCTCCGTTACTTACCATTGATGATCAACAACAACTTCGACCACTGCATACTGTTCAAACTACGACCAAAAATTCGGCCTTAGCAATTGAGCAACCACCACGATTATTAAGACCCACGACGGCCAAATCAAGAGTCACTAGAACAATAATTGAACAGCCACAATCAGAAGATCAATATCCCATTGCAACTTCAGAAAAATCTTTTCTAACCGAAACAGATATGTTTAATTTGCAATCACCAGAATCAACGAATAAGCAACACCAACATATAACAATAACATATTGCAAACAACAAGATTCAGATTCAGTACATCCAACATTAACTGCCAATAATTTCTTTTGTCCAACAACAACCATAAATGGTTTTGCCAAAGATTCAATTAATGTTAGTGATGATGATGATGATTTGAATATGGAAAATGATGATAACGATGATGAGACTGACAGTGAGATACAACGTATAACAACTAAATCCAGATTAAATAATGATTTATTATTTGATGATGAACGTTCATGCGAAAGTAATCGATTTTCACGTCCCATATCATCCAAACAACCTCTTACAACAGTAACAAATAGAAAATCCAATAGTCCATTATTTGGACTGTTTGGTGATGACAAAAAGTCAGATAATAATAAAAAAGAAAAGGATAACGATGATGATGATGATGATTTTATGGCACTTTTGAATAAAAAATAGTTTATAGTTGTATTTGATTAACTTGTTTTCTGTATGTTATTTAATGTTAATAATGTGTTTGATCAATTTTTCTTGTGGGAAAAATATAATTTTTCATTAACACAACAAAATGAAAAAGTTTAAACAGTTTTCTTACAGATATCTCTTTTATTCAGTGGAAAAAAAAACCCACAGTAAATGTCAAATTATGTAATACTTCAACAGCCTATACCGAATTTTATTTTTCCTAAATTTTTATGTGAATTGGTCAAAACGAATATTTGAAATTTGGAGCAGTGAGAAACGTAATCATGTTAGTGTTAATGATCAAGATTATTCTGACGATAGCAAGAAGATGAGTAAAACGCATAATAAAATTTTCAGTTGTCAGGAGTATGTCAAACGACTCTCTACGATGACTTGAGAACAGAGTGTTGATTCAAACTTCTGCGCATTTATTACTGACGAGGGAACCACCCCAAGTGATACACCTTGATTTTGTTCAAACCTGGCTATATATATGTAATCAAAGACCCTGATTACGAATACGATAACCGTTTGGGCTCATAGATCTTTCGTAGCCTCTCTTTTGACAACCAGTTTTCCAGAAATCCCCTGAAACTGTAGCAATGTTCTCCCAATATGTCCCTCACAGCTCTCCATGATCTTTCTTTGCAATGTTATAGAATTTATAAGAAACATACTAAATTAATCTTTTCCTTTTTCTTTCTATAGCTTCGAGCTGACAATGAACATTTAGTGCGTTTCTTGTAAATTCTATAACTTTGCAGCAAAGAAAGGTCATGGAGAGCTGTGAGGGATCTTATTTTCATGTAAAATTTACGGACTATAATCTTAACATGTTGGAAGGACATTGCTACGGTTTTCGGGGATTTCTTGAAAATCGGTTGTCAAAAGAGAGGCTACGAAAGATCTATGGGCCCAAACGGTTATCATATCGTAATCGACGTCCTTGATTATATATAAATAGCCAGATTTGAACAAAATCAGGATACATCACTTGGGGTGGTTCCCTCCTGAGTCATCATTATATAGGAAAAAGGATAATACGACATGGGCAACTATGTGATTTCTCTGCATAAACAGAAACGAATTTGAAGATAATGATGAAAACATTTTTCTTCTCTGAATGCTGTTATTCTAAAACATATTTTTAACACGTTTTTGACTTTTTGCGATGAATCATTATTAATATGTTGAGCATATTGTTCATTTACTTTGCAATTTAGAATATTTTGTTAGTCAGTTCTTCTAAATTATGTACGAGTTATTTACTGTCCGGGTTACAACGATAATTCGTGCAAATATTATTATGATAAAAAAACAAGGACTATGCCAAAACGAAATTCTATTAGGACAAAAATGTTTGGGTCACTCTATTCATCATCATCATCGAAAATACGATTCCAAATCTTGATGTGAATAAAGAGTATAAAATATTTACTAACGATATTCTTCATACAACTGAATCACTGAATTCAACTAGTAAATTACCCATTCACATTCGTAGGATAAATACTATATGTCTATATTGTCTTCAAAGGTACCAATGGCGACTATATATATACACATGTCGTCTGAAAAAAATTGTCAGAAACAATGACTTTACGATTATGAATGTCTGACAAATATGTGTGATGTGTTTAAACACGTATGGCAAAACATACCAAATATTACGGCTTGTCAAAACGTAACGCTGTTACGTTTTTGACACACTTTTTCTCAATTATCTTAGAAAGTTTGAGAGCTACAAAGTTCGTTCAAACGCCATTCGACGCTGCTCATCATACTCAATGTATGCTATAAAAACGAAGTTTTTTAGTTGAAGTCTGGATCGTCGAGAAAGATTTTTTCATCGCGTAACGCTGTTACATAAAAAGACCCTAAATTCGGAGTGCTCTTGCTAAAGTTCGAATAAAATGCCCCTAGAGCAAATTTTGTAGAGCATCGAACGAGCTGTTCAGCGGTAAAAAAACTTTTCTTCTAACTATTTTTACTCGCGTAAAAAAGCAAAAAACAAACGTAACGCTGTTACGTTTTCCGTAATGCCGTTACGCATTTTTTTGTCACACCATTTTAGGGCACTCAACGTTCTTTAAACGACTTCATACTTATAGCCTTACAGAAGATATTCCACTTGCAAACAAAGTTGCAAAAGGTGCCTCAGGCTTTTAAATCGAGTCGAAAGTTCAAACTTGCAAGCAGCCCTTGTACCTCGACTAAGAAATATTTCTCAAAACAATACGAGCCATTTTGTAGAGAATTGAATTCTCTATTCGACAGTATATTTTTAAAATTTTCAAGTCAGAAAATTAAAATTAAACTTTTCAAAAATTTTAAATTAAAATTTTTTAATTGAAAATTCAGTTTTTTTCAAAATAAAGACCAAATTCGTGATCAGCATGAAACTACGTCCGGTGATGGGTTCCTATCGATTTCCCAATAGTTAGATAACTCAAAGTTTAGGCAGGGATCTTTAGTCACGAATGATATCAATGCAAAATTGAAAGAACTTAAAAAGCCCGAAAATTTTCTTATCTTTTACGTATTAGAGTCACCTATAGCTCTCAAAATTGAAGAGAAGCCGAGAAAAAATGAGACTATTGAAAATATCAAATTTAGCAAGTTTTTTAACAGAGTAAATCCTTAAATGGCCTCAAGAACTGTGTCTAAAGCTCTTAGTGACGGCGACGCACACATGCGACACAATTTTCTTACAGGAACTGCGACACATTTTACTGCAATACAAAATGCGACACAATATTTTTTACTGTGAGTGACATTGTTCTTAAGGTCTAAAAAGTTGAATTCAGGTTGAATAGGGTTACAATTCCAGTTATACTTACAGTAGATCCAAAGATTATTGACCCACCCTTATTTTTGATTTTTCTTGTCGACTATAGTAGCTAGAACAAAACTGAAAGAAAGAAAATTTGAAAAAAAATTAAACAGCTGGAAGAAGTTCCAATCTGATGTGGTGTATATAAAGGGTTCATTGAAACTCTTGAAACCAGGATCTCTGGAAAATCTAAATCTCAGAAAAACAAGTCCCCAAGCTCGATTTAGAAATTCTTCACAAATAACTCTATCATACAGAGCAAACATTTCTGACAAAATTAGACGCCTTCGAGCTCTCTATGACATTTTTTTATGAAACAGTATTTAATTTACGGAATACCGCATACCACCAAAATCAGCAGAATTAACAAGAAAATAAAAAAGTTATACTCTTAGGGCCTTTCGTAAATTGAGTGCTGTTTCATGGCAAAATGTCACAGAGAGCTCGAAGACGCCTCATTTAGTTCAGAAATGTTTGCTCTATATGACAGAGTTATTTGTGAAGAATTTCTAGATCGAGCTCGGGGACTTCGTTTTCTGAGATTTAGATTTTTTCCAGTGATCCTGGTTTCAGGAGTTTCGATGAAACCTTTATATATGTCGCATCAGATTTCAGCTGTTCGAATATTTTTTCAAATTTGTTCTAGAACAATAAAGATGGACCAATCATTTTTGGATTCACTGTACGTTCAGTTTGGTGTTGCATTTAATTTACTGTAACGAACCGAGTACTGAAGAGATTATATACAATCTCATCGACCAGACTGTTAGATCATCCACGGATTAGACGATTTCATCAAGTTGGACATACAACAGTTACTTAACATTTTTCTGAATCTTTTCCTACTCCTGTATCTGATGTGGTAGATGCTAGAACAAAAGACAATGAAGACGATCATGATGAAGAAGAACAAGACCAACACAATGTCGTTGCAAATGTCGTTGTTGAAACGACCTTCATCTTTTTAGAGTATGCCACCGCCTTATAGTACGTAACTCAAAAATTACAATATAAAATAGGAAAATATTACTGAAATTTATTGGCTTAAACTTTGAACGCTGGAGTTTTGAAAAAACTGCTTTCATATCGAGAAATTGGAATATACGGCACAATTCAATACTACCAAAAATTGATAAATTATAGAATACACTCACTTTGTGCGACAGACTACTGATTAATTAGAGCATATAACAAAAAAATAACTAAAAATCTTTTTGTAGCTATTGGAGATTCATACCGTCTTTTCCTCACAGCGAGAACGAATCGCTGATTCGAATAGAAAAAAATATAAGGAAAAATATTTTCTGATGAAAAGCAATAAATCTCCTTTCGTTTCACTCAGGTGAGTTAATTGAATACCACTTGTGTTCCGTAAATTCTTCTCTGACTTTTTTTTATAAAGAAAGTTTAATTGTACGAAAGAATGACTTTTTGTGATACCTTAGAGACCTGATAATTAAACTATGACTTACGAAACCGAAAAACTTAACGATTGTTTAGGTTTTCTCATGATCTTTCAAACTAAATACTGCGAAACGAAAAATAAATTTTAACTGTAACTGTTATTCGTTCTTCAGCTATAGTCGAGCATTTATACATCTTCAATTATAAAATAAAAAAACAAAATAATTAATGTAGTAAAATATAATACATAGAGATTTACATATTGACTCTCCACTGAGGATTTTCACTTCTCAAATGTATATTGCACAATGAGATTGATTTCATACGAACGATTACCAATCACCTCCGCCAAAGTCTCCACCACCGAAATCACCACCGCCAAAATCACCGCCCCCATAATCACCGCCTCCATAGTCACCAGTATCAAATCCCCCGCCAGTATCAAAACTTCCGCCATAATCGCCTCCACTTTCATAATAGTTACTTGTATCATTTCCATAATCGAAATTTGATGTATCATTAGTTTGATCTTGATAATCATTATAATTTGCAGTATCACTGAACTGATTAGATTCATTTGAAGTGTTATTATTTGTTGTTGTATCATTATTATAATAATTATTGACAATATTTGTCGTATCATTATCTGAGTAATTTCCACCGCCCCAGCCTATAACGGAAAAAGTTTTAGTGTAGAACTTCAGACTTTATTCACAATGGTTCTTTTAGATAATATTTTTAATTGATAACTATAATTCTGCTTTAATTAGTGGTACAAGCCTTAGTTTTTACCTCCATAACCGCCGCCTCCATAGCCTCCACCATGACCCCAACCGCCCATTCCCAAAGAATTACCCCATGCGTATCCTAGTGTACCTAAACACAGAAAACAACATTTTAATCACTACAGAGAAGCTTGCGGATAGATGAAGTAGCTAATATTTTATACGTGTTGATATACATATACTGACTATACCAAACTACTCTTTAATAAAAAAGTAAGATTTCCCTAAACTTTAAAAGCACTAAGCTCTCGACGAGCAAGAAACGGAGGTCAAAAAAATATGTCAGCAATAACACTTTTTTGATTCGAGAAATTTTAATAGACGCAACTTCTGATTTTAAATGATACAAACCTCCTAGAAGAGCACCACTAGCAAGTCCTAAACCGACTCCGGTTAATGCTCCCGATCCAAATCCGCCGCCACCTCGACTATAACCCCCACCACGATCATAACCCGACGAAGATGGTTGAACGACAACTGTTGTGTGATAATTTGGTTGTGCAGTTAATCCACCACGTGGTTGAGATGAATATGGATAATTTGGTTGTTGTGGACGATATTGTGGCTGTTGATTTAAATTTGGATACATCGGGTTCTGTTGTTGAGAATATTGTTGAGCTGGATAAGCTAAATCGTCAAATTAAATTTTTAATTATATTCAAGAGTGTAACAAGTAACATACGTGGTGGTGGACCACTCGGCATTGTTGAAGGATGGGGTGCTCCAGCCTGTTGTTGTGGCTGTTGAGGAGCTTGAGGTGGAGGAGGAAGAGTTGACACAATTGCTTTCATCCAGTCACTAACAACACAGAGAAACAATTTACAAGAAAGAATAATGTAAAAGATTTGATACATTCAAACAGTTAGTTAAAAGAATACCAAAATACTGAAAAAACCTCATTAATTGAACCATGTACAGACGAATCAGGGTAGAAATTTCAGCTATGAGGCTTATCGTATCGTATGGTAATGAATTCAAGAAATAATAAAGAATAAACTCTCTGATAATAATTTCATTACTAGAAAAACAAGAAATTTGAATACCTACTTTAGGTGTGTTACATCATTACATAATATCCAAAGGATATCGTGATCACGATTATGAGGTGATTTAGGCATAGCAATAACATTGCCTTCATCAGTTGGTTTTGGAAATGATGGACGATTTTGTATACATCTTGTATATGGGCCGACAGTTAGAAACTGGGCAACATCTTTAATATAAACACTTCCTTCTGGTTTACGATCCGACTGTTTTTCGAACCATTGCAATGTACTATTATCAAATAAAACAAAATAATAGTCCTTCCATTTTTTGGTTATTAATCCTTCTAAACAAAACGAAACGAACAGAAAATTATTAGAAATATTAACAATGAGAGTTCAAATTAAAACAAATAGAACAGATATTTCTCGAGAATTTTGTCTTTCAAAAATACCAGTTTGGTTGTAAAGTAAGTCTATTGGCAGACCTGATCTGGCAGCAAGAAGCTTGAATAAGAGAATGATAAGTACGAAAAAAGTATGTGAGCAAACAAAATTCTATTTGTCCAAGTCACTTGTTGAAACAGTTATCAGAAAATGTTTTGAAGAGATTTGTCAATAGCTTCTTACAGTCAGAGCGGATCTGTCAATAGTAGATAAAATGGTGCTAGTGAAGATAATTCAGATAAAACATAGTTTGCACTAGTGAATAGTACAATTAATCATCATATAGGTTAATACTCACTATGAAAATATCTCAAATGTCCTGTTTTAATATGCTGAGACATCACTGACGTAATACCGTTAACAAAGAAGAACTGAACACAAAATAAAAAGCTGTTCGTGTTGAGATATATATATATAAAATATATACGAGTCGAACAAAAAAAAAAAACAGAAAAACTTCTTTTTTTTCTCGTTCCAGTCTTATAAAAGAAAAAAGAAATCAATATGACTCAAGAATATGAAGGCGGCTCCAGCTTTAACAAATGTACGTGTCTGTATCTCTATATATGCGTAGGAAAAAAAGACCTTGTTTTTTATTCTGTTCTGTCTGGTTAGGATTACTAGACTAGAGAGCATCATCAGAAGAAGAATGTGATAGAGAAAAAAAGAAAAAATCTCACATGAAAATACTGCATTATACTCACGTACAATTGTGTATGAATCAGAGGAAGAATCGCTTCGTATTTTGAACAGAAACTGAAAATTTACAGTATACTTCCAAAAACTATACTGCAAAGCATAGCAGTTATACTTTCACTTTTAAAGCTATGTGATGATATCGAACATTGAAAATTTTTTTCCAGTGAGACATAAGAAACGGCTGAGTAAAACTATTACATTCGTATTTTTCCGAGTAAAAAATATGTCAGACGATGTAACTCGAGAAAATGCTGGAACTTCGTTGAAAAGGCATCCAGATACATGATTTACTGTCTTAAAATAAATCTAATACTTTGTCGACGTGTGTTTAAGAACAAAAAACGTTCCAGAAGCAGATGTGTCATCAATTATTTCTTTTTTTAATGTTTGTAAATCAATAGAGAGTGGAAAAGAAAAGTCCAGAAGCTTTCTTGAATAATATAGTTGAACGAGTCATGTTCAGATGCAGTTTTTTTCGAAAGCATTCCGCAGTGCCCTATTATCAAAAACTATACAGTGTGAAACTTTTGCAGTTAAAACAGATCACGTTTTTTGGAAGACCTCGTAACGCGACCGTTTATCAATATTTTATGTAATATTTATGAGATTTAATGCACTATTTAGAGAAGTTAGCTTTTAAGTACATTCATCTGAAATACACGGTCTTCACTTAAATCGCATCTACAAGCTCCGAAACTATGTCCCTTTTCTCGAGATTGTTAACTTGTCTTAGGAAAATCTCAATCGGGACTCTCGATATCCTGTTTATTTTACAGAGTATCATCTTATGCTCTCAACACTGGTAGTGCCATATCAATCTCGTAAAAATTTCTTGATATTTTCCATGAACTTCTTTAAAACATATTGAGGAAACCAATGAAAAATAATTCTATAACAGTACGTAGATCCAAGATTTGTTTTATGCAAGACAATCGACTATGAAGAGTTCAAATCTGGAGTTGGTTTTAACCGAATAAGCTTTTAAAATTTCTTGATTAGATTGATCTATATGTCCTCGCTATTTAATATCCTCCTGAAGTGTCCTCGACTGAATCGCCTGCTAAAAGTAAAATGCCCTTGACTTTTAGTTTGAAGAGAATAGAGGTGGGCGAGTACGCAGATTCTCGAGTACGAGTACGGGTATTTTCTAAAAAGTACTCGAATACTTTTTTAGAAAATACTCGAGTACGAAAATTTTTAAGAAAAAAGAAGAAAATACTCATGAAAAAAGTTATTTTAATTATAGGTTATTGTATGTTAAAAAATTTCAAGTACTCGAAAATACTCGAGTACATCTTTAAGTACTCGTAAAAAAAGTCCCGAGTACGAGTACGAGTACTGAAAATTTTGTACTCGAGTAAATTCGAGTACTCGCCCATCTCTGGAAGAGGAGTGACAAAGATTTTTTTGAAAAAGTGAAGATTATTTTCTGGAAGGTTCTCCACATATAAGATACTAGAGTTTCAATTGTTTTAAGATATTTTCACGTGATTTCCAACCGTAAAAACTCGATGGAAATTGAAATGCGGCTGTACCTGCTAAATATGAAAAATGCTGGAATAAAAACGTTCGAAGCATTGAACTTGTTTAGGAGTAGTAATTTTAGTATAAATGATAATATATCAATAGCTCTTTTGAAATATCAAACAGCTTTCGTTTTTACCGTATCATTTAACGGGTGGCGCAGAATAAATTAGACTGTCAGTGCTTTTGAAATTCCTTCTCTTCCTCAAAGTCGATCGAGATCATTCTTATATCAAAAGATTTGCCTTTCAATTCTCTACGAAATGGTATATAACTGGTGAGGCTAGGTCCTAAGAAGGTGCGTTCAATGAACATAAGGTTGTGTACTCCGAAAAAGCAGAAAATGTAAATGTCAAGAAACTTATTTCTCTAGTAATAAATCTAGCTATGGAATTGTATCAAAGCCG